TAATATGTTTTGTATATTTATATACATACATATATATTTATATATATATATATATTCATATACATATATTATAAATGTATGTATATATATATGTAACAATACATATAAACATATATACTAGTATACTTATACATATATATATGTGCATTTATATATATGTATTATTTCATATATCCATATATAAACGTATATTTATATATTTATGTGCATGAATATGTATACCAATATTATATATATATATATATATTTATATACATATGCATAAACATACATATATATTCTATATTTATAAATATACATATACACACACATATATATATATAGATATATATATATTTAAAAGTATATCAATATATATATATAGGTACTTTCTCTTGTTCGTTTGTATTCGTTTGTTCATTCACTGTTGTACTGGATTGTTTCTTTGTACAATTGCATATATAGTGCTGATGATGCTAACAATCTGTAGACATATATTCGGGTTTATATGTATATGTTCTCTGCTGTGTACATGTTCGTAAAATTTTGTATTTCGGTATCATGTTTTATCCCCTTTTTGTTACGAGATGCGAGTTTCGTTAACGACAAGCATACATCCGAATATGCTCCGTGGCTATTGTATTCTTCATCAAACGTTATGCAGGAGTATGTTACTATGGAAATCGGTTCTCCTCATCATATATATCAATAAATCTATCTCAACTCATTCATCGAGAGACCATACGGAGAAAGTATCCACGCGCGAAGTCAAACACTCACACACTGAAAGTTTGCGGTGCGTTGTGCTTACATACATACATACTTTCTCCAGATATTTACTTAAGCACATCATCTGCACCACCTGTACGTACAGGCCTGCGCGGAAAGCTCATGGACAAAGACACCTTTTTGAAGCGAATCGGCCGCGACTGTGAAAAACACGCCGACAAGTTTGAAGACTGGGACGATCTCATGACCGCCACCACCTACGTAATGAAGCCGCGCGGAATCGACATCAAATCGCGCAAGTACATCCGCAGTTGGGTGAACAGATACAGGTACGTATATGTATATGTATATATTTACAGATATAGGTATAACGGTATATTGTATGGGTGTATGTGCACACTGGTGGTTGGTGTGTATGGCTTTGCGTCCTTGTCTGTGTATATGGCCAACATGATCAGATCACGTATGTCTTTTCTCGGTAGTATGATTAGACACCTGTGTACAAATACAGGTATATCGGTATATAGTTTATCCATGTGTATATATGTACAGATATAGGTACATCGAATATATATAAATTTATATACATATATATATGTACAGATGCAGATACAGATTTATCGGTTTATAGTATAATGTATTTTTGTACAGATACAGGTACATCGATATGTGGATATATTTATAGATATATCTATAGATACAGGTAACCCTGTATAATATATATATATATATATATATATATGTGTGTGTATTTGTACACTCGTAGCGAATGTACACTCGTGCTTGGTTTATATATCGTTCTATTCATGTCATTATAAATGTAACAGATATAAGTATGTCAGTATGCATGTATAATCATAAGGGTATACATACAAGTATACATGGGATTTTCCCTCATTTCAATTCTTTTGTTTATTTTCATAGCCTGCTCACCCCAATCATCTTTGAGGTATCATCTACTCATTCACATATATAGCACTATATGTATGTACTATCATCCTGATTGGTATCAAAAATTCTTAAAAGTAGCTTGTTTTAATACCTGTTTGTACAGTTTGGGTATTGATCCGACCCCGTTGCCCTTTACCAAGACGGAAAAGCTGAACATGAAGAAGTAAATAGGCTGCAGCATCAATAAATGGTAAAACTAAATGCGAATACAAGACCTTTTAAGGGTCCTTGGAAGTAAAAGTATACAAATATTGATCACGTATAAATTACATGTCCGTTATACTCTTAGATCTTGTATATGGTTTACAGGGTCACTAATATGTATGTTTTTGAAAGGTTGTGTGGAAAATTCCTCGTGCACCATTATATTGATATATATGTATATATATATATATACGTACATACATACATACATGTATGTATGTTTGTATTTATTCATATGTGGGTGCATGTATATATCCATGTATATATATATATATATACAAACATACATACTTACATGCATACATATATATATATATATATATATACATACATATATATATATATACATACATATATATATATATAGTATAATGTATAATTTTATCACGAGTATGTTCCTTGTGGTATATTTTGGGCTCGTTGGAATTCGCTCAATCGATATACCAATATTGTTTAATGGACATGTTGCATTACTTCATAGCTTGTATATTGTATGATCTTGGTCTATTTCATACTCTCTATAGTGGGTTCGCATTTTGATTGTGTTGTTCATTTCTAATCGAGGGTTGGTATGTGGGCCCAGCCACACATTGGTCGTATCATAGCTTGCGTATTTGGCTTGATGACAATCTGCCTTAATCTACTCTATATACAAGGTCCGCCTTGCTGTTGTTGATTTCGCTTTGTTGCACATATAATTTTGTACTAGAGTTCGACAGCTTGATACCTCTACCTGGTACATTACCCTGAAATTTAGTCCCCTTCTTAACGACGAGTGTGCCCTGGAATAGCTTGCTAGAGTCGAATATACTCGATGAGTCTACACGGTTATTAATAAAAGTACCAGCAAATGTAACCACCGCATCACCGGAGGCTCGATTATTAGCGACTAAACCTCTCCCATTTGACGCATAATTATCTTTGTAGTAACCATCGATATTCACAGCTCCATCGATATACTTGAATCTCGTGCCGCCGCACGACTACCCCAACCCTGCTCTCGCGCTTGGTTGCGTTCAAACCTCCCATCAATGTTTACGGTAGTCGTAATTCCCACACGCGCAATGTGTACGGCACCTCCATCGCTAGCAATATTCTCCAGGAATGTGCTGTCGACTATATCCACCTGTCCTAAGCAGTTGCCCACAAAGAACGCCCCTCCCAAACCATGCTCGAACTCCATGGAGTTGTTGAGGAATGTGCTGTCTTCAATAAGAATGTAATTGGTGGATCTTCTTAGTTCCTGGAACCAAAGTGTACCACCTCCACCAAACCTCTCCTCATCCCCCGTGTCTGGTACCGTCACGTGGTTGTGTTCGAAATCAGAGTTCTTTATAACTACACTCTCAACAGCTTGTAGGAATATAGCAGCCCCACCCCTGGCCTTGCTATCAAAGTAGCGCAGCCTACAATTGTCAATCTCGAGACTATACGCACTGTCTTTGGTGAATCGATCGTCTCTGGCTTCCTTCTCGTTAACATCGTACTCGTCCGAGCGTATGCAGCGCGAGTGACCCCCACCTCGATTCTCAAAGGTTATATCTTTGACTAACAGTTTATCGCCTGACGAACCTACCATTCTGAAGATAGCGTCCTCATTTTCGTTAAAACCTGAGAACACTTTCGCCATATACCCCCCACACTTCTGTCCGATAACATTAGTGGACTGCCTTACTGGTATTTCATTGTCTACAGTGATCTCACCGGTGACATAGATAGTGTCTACTGTGTTGGAGTTAGCCGCATCAAATGCGGACCTCAGATCGGAATAGCAGGTGCTTTTACTTTGCAGCCATATTCCGTCGGTACATTTGTACACTTCGCCGCCTTCGGCTAAAACGTAACTTGATAGCAAGAGCGCAGCAACTACGCCTCTCAATTCGAATAATTTTAACATTATAATTGTGTTGTTTAAATTGAGTATTTGAATTAGTGCTATTACTTCAGTGTCTGATTTTGCAATGTGACGGAATTCTTTTTTGAACGTTTCAATATATATTTACATAAATACATATTTGACACTTTGTTTTCCGATGGCACCTAGCCTTCTCTACTAGAGAGAAGACATTTAAATACTGTCTCAAATTTAGAATATCTGATTGTGCGAAATATGTGCCAAGGATGTATTCCAGACTCCAGAGGGCTTTGGGCCAAGAGGATAAATATCACATATTATAGTAGTCTAGGCCTCGCAATACATATCGCGAATAACGAACGCATCTGGGCCTCTTGGGGGTGTAGGGGGCGAGTCTCGGAGTCTGGGCTCGGGCAGAGTCTGAGCCCCTATTGGGGGATCTGAAGGGGAAGGTTTCAACTTTCAATACACACAAGAGTGAAGAATGAATCCATATATTTTTATGTTCTGATTTTGGAGAGGCTTTGCATTTTTGAAAACTAAAAGAATCGAAGTGAAAGATGCAGTATGCGGTATGCCGCATATTGCCATATGAGAAAATTTACCGATAAATAAGATTGGAATTCTTTTGCATTTGATTGGAATGAAAATAAAATTAGTTTTTATAAAATGGCCTCTGATTTCTGAGTGCTGCAGAATGCAGATTGCCAGTTTCGAGTTTTAATGTAAAACGTAATATGTCTGCATATGTAGTTTTATATAAGAAATATTTTGCTTTTTTAAAATAAAGAATCAATCACAGTTGTGCTACTAAACGACCAACGACAATAGCACCAAATATCATAATAAAATTAAAAGTATATATCACTATCCGGTATCTTTTACTTTATTTGCATATGTAATTCATGTCAAACCAACTTCTTGCAAGTGTCGTTTACTAGAATAGATTCAGGGAAACTTTGATCCACATAGTTTTGTGCCTTGGAGCAATTTTAACCTGCAGTACTCCTGTTATGCTGAATCAAATATATATTTTTAGTATGTATTTACTATTATATTTACGTCTTTAAAATTACTGTTCATACATATTCTGATATCGCTTCACTTTTTGTTTTGTTTTTTTTGTTTTTTTAAAAACAGTAAATATATATATATATATATATATATATATATATATATACTATATATACTATATATACTATATATACTATATATATAATATACTATATA